TAAGCCAAAGAATAATAGTAGCAGTAATAAACAAACTGGTTTTGAGCAAGATGAAGCAGCAATTCATATTACACTTATGAAATCACTTTGGCTCAAAAAGTGACAGTGCAGGTTTCACAACTTGACTTGTTTCCCCAGTGGGCTGTCACCTTAGATTAAAAACAGGTTTAGTATTTTTTCTCTAAAATAAAATTTGAACAACTAAAGCTAACATTTTGGCTCCACTGAAGTCCAAGCAAGTTTTGTCATGGACTTACAAGGAATAGGCAAACCAAAATTTTATAATGGACCAGAGGATTTCAAGGTTTTACAGTAATAAAGAACTTAATCTATTCAGTTTATAGAGCAAATGTGTTAAAGGAATCTGTTTAAATTGAAAAAATGATCCATCACCACATGACAAAGAACCAACCCTTGTCTTGCTAATTTTAGAGGCAAGAGTTTTCTCATATGCTGGTGCTTGAGTTGTCCATTAATAGTGGACAACACAAACCTGCACAAGCAGTGCAGCTATTCTGTTGAGCCAATAGCAGGAGTATCCCATTTCCAGCTATTACAGTGGTTTTCATAGTAGCTATGATTACGTAAGCCAGAAGCATGAGAAAGGAAAATCACTCATCCCAGCATGCAAATATACATTTAAAAACATAACATCTTTTTCCCAAGAAAAAGATCAAGGTGATTCTTACCTGGTTAACAATCTTTCTCCTATAACCCTTCATTAGCTTGGAAGACTTGCGTGTGAAGTTAGAGAACGATGGGCTTGTCAACATTTCATATGTAGTGGTCAATCACCAAGGAATCACTTCCCAAGAGAAAATTCACTTGCTGAGAAAGGAGGTCTCCGAGCATATTGTTGTTTACCAACAGGATGAGAATCAGCCTGATGTCTGGACTACCTTAAATGGAAACAAAGATGATTTTCTTATATATGACAGGTTTGTATAATAAAAGGGAAATCAGGGAGGGGTTTAGATTTCCGGTTATTTCTGTATTTTCTCCAATGATTCTCTAATCTAAATTCCATAAAGAGTTCTAGCAGTCAGGACCAGAACCAGGATTCCCTTCTTCCATGAGAAGACCCTCATCACTTGGTTAGAGCCAGGATCCCTTTTGCTTGTTCTCCTTCTGATCACATTAACTTCGTATTGCTGACTGGCCAGTGGCTCAGATTCAAGAGACAGGAATTCGGACATAGCCCTGTACTATCAGATAATTCTGGTCTATCTGCATCATCTGGAGATGCCCTGCATAGAGATCCTAGACCCCCTTAACTCTGAATTGCTCTTCAGAGACATCTAACACTGTATTGATTCTATGAGACATAGTTATGGCAAGCAGGAGTCTGTAAGTAATGCAGACACTACTTTCAATTGCAAGCATTTTGGTGCAGGAGTCCATTTTTAATTGTGTATTTGTATGGCATATAGCACAAGGGGTCCTGTTCATGACCAGGGTTCCCATATACAACCACAATAACAGTAACAAAAACTCATACACTTTGTGTTTAATGATTAAAGTATTTCTTTCATCAGGTGTGGCCGCCTAGTGTATCACCTTGGGCTGCCTTATTCCTTCCTGAGTTTCCCATATGTGGAAGAATCAATTAAGATTGCCTACTGTGAACAGAACTGTGGAAATTGCTCTTATATGGTATTTTCCTTATTTCATTCTTTATTTATAAGTGGGGGGGAGGGGGGGAGATCGACTGAAATTTAGAGGATATATTTTAACCTGATTTATCTCAGACACTGAATTTCACTGATCTAGGCATTTTATGGCTCTTCATTAGTAGGCAATTTGTGAAACAATTTTCAGAATGGATCAAATCACTATGAAATAGACTGAAATCTAAAGGTCGAATTACCACAGCTCTGCAATGAGGATCCAGTCCAGCTTTCACTGAAACCAGGAGAAATACTCTTATTGATTAACTTAAATGTGTCTTTGGCAAAGTACTGCATCGTATGCAGTAGATATATAGATGGAGATGGTCTAGTGTATCTGAGGAAGAACCATTCCTTTCTGAGGCAGCATGTAACGTCTGACTTGACATGTGTTTTAAATGCCAAATGACACCTGCTGGGATTTCCACCATGTCTAAGCATCTAACACATTGCTTTCAATGGGTGTGAGGTGCTGAGGTACTTTAAAAATCATACCAGATGCTCATCTGCATCTTCAGGTTACTTAAATACTTTTAAAACTTGGCTCATTGTACACAGCTGCTCAGAGTTTCTGATTTTACCTAACTTGAATGGAACAGATGATTCTTGGGAATTGGAGAATGTTGTAGAGACTCTAACCCAGCCAGAAATTTGCTCAACAGTAGGCGTGTCTACACATGCACCCCACTGTACAGTACCCACCTGTACTGTACAGTTCTGGGAGTGCATGGATCATTTCTGACCCTACTGTGTAGTAGCAATGAACTACTGCGCAGTAGCTCATTGCTACTGTGTGATGGTGGTGGCATCACAGCTAGTGCCCACCGATGCTACACTGGTGCAGTGACAAGCTACATCACCATAGCTTGTTGCTACAGTGATATAGCATCTTGTGTAGATGTGCTCAGTATGTTTCTTTTATTAGCATGACTTGCAGTGCCAGCAGTGCCAGCTGTGATGGAGATTTTTTTTGTACTGAGGAAGCCTGCTATCTAGGAAATATATAACTAGCTTGTTTCGCATGGATGCAGTAGCTTGAGTGTAGAATTTAATTTCTTTCTCAAATTTGATCCTCTTTCCAATATTTGCAATGATATTTTATAGGTAAAATAAGCGGAGGGAAGGGGTTGTAGTTCTATTTAGCTTTACTAAAATCCTAAATACAGCTTTAGCAATGTGGCCTTCTTTACCTAGTTGTTACCTAACCTATCTATTTACGACTAAATTGTGTCAAAAAGGGACAGACTGACATCAGCGGTGGCTTATATGCACAATGCACCAGAGTGACATCAGGAGACATGGTGCCTCAGATGGATCATTTCTTCCTGTGTTTACAGTAGACTTAAATGAGGTGCTGAAAACTTCTTCCTCTGGGCCAGCTTGATTCGTTTTTTCCCTGTCCAGTTAATCCTGAGAGAAGCAGACTTTGCCAAGCAGCTATGAGCACTTGTACATGTGACTGGGATTTAGTTCCCCTAAATTGAAATGGTGGGTTTTTAATTTGTGGGTTTTTAATTATGACCCACCTTTTCAATTTAGGGGTTTCTGTCACTGTTACGGAACAGCAGCAGGAGGGTGGCTGGGTGTGCTGGTGGTCAGAGAAAGCAGTGGGGACAGTGCATGGGGCTCTGGAAGCCCGCCAAGCCTGAGCTACCTCTAGCATGTCTGGGCTTTGAGCATCCTGTGCACTGTCCCTGCCACTTTCTCCTGCTGCCAGCTCACCCATGTGACATGTACACATGCATGATTTTTTTTATCTACAGTGGAACAATTTGCCACAATCAAACTAATCCAATACATTGGAGGTGGTCTAAGTTGCCACACTCAAAGAAATTTTTACAGGAAAAAAAATTGTGCACATGTACATGGTGACACTATTATGTTAGACAAATGACAATTTCTCATCACTTTTTGTCACATGTACATGGCCCTACCATCATGTGTACAAATGTCCTGTGATCTCTTGAAAGCTGGGAGCTGTCCTGTAATGTACCATAACATAGTTGCCTCCCCTTCCTCCAAAGTGAAATCTAGACCCTACTTTTTTTTGGCATGTAGAATCAGGCTTTCAACATTTTTTTAAAAAGTTCATTTACCCAAAGCTCAGCACTTACATTATGTCACATTAATGTTTATTTTTCAGACACCAGATGTTGAAAAGGTTTGCAATAACATAAATAAGCCAGCTGATGAAGACCCAGCAGAGATCACACCTGAACAACACAACCATCATTCCCATCAGCCAAACCAACACAGACACCATGGACATGGGCACCATCATCGGGAAGAGGATCAGCTTTCAGAAGATCAGAACCAACAGGCTCATGCTCAAAGACATCATTCCCCTGGGAATAATCGACGTCATAACAGGGTTCTGGGACGTAATAGACAGGGTCAGGCAGGTAGCCAGGAAAGGGTAGAAGCTGTCCCACAAAGAGAAGTGCTTGAGATTCCTTTACAGAGTAAAAGGCTCTGAAAAAAAGGAAATGCCAGTTGCAAAAATCAGCTAACCTGAAACTTTTTGAAAGGGTCAGAATCAACTTCTAGTAGCTGATGCTGACACTGACGACATCTGTTGTTTGAAGAAGTGGGGAAGGCAGCCACCTGACACTGTCGAGGAACACTTCCAGATACCTGCAGGTGACAGGGCCAGCTGCTGGCAGAGAACATCACTGAATCTTGACAGTGACGTTTGCTCCCAGCTGCTTGACAGTCACTAGCAGAAAGAGAGCATGAAACTAGTGACAGCTGACAATGACAAGGAAAGACTGGAAACTGAGCCTGAAAAACAAACTAAACATCTTAAAATCAGGAAAGACCCCTTCCATTTGAAGGCACTTCTTTACATTACAACTTGTAATAAATAGCTTCAAATTTATCAGAGGCATACAAGATATTTAATTCCCACAATTGCAAAATTCTGCCCAAGACAGGATAAAGAAATGCGTAAAATTAAAATACAACATTGTAAGCAATTTGATGAGTGCTACAATCATGCTCCTGTCAGCTACCATCAGGAGAGGGCTTTTTAAACAAAGTAATGTTATTTGACCCTTAGTTTGTTTTTTCAGTGCTACTTGGAAGCTGGCTGCAGTCTGGTTAATTTGTCTTTCTTGTCTCTCTTCTAATATTCTGCATGCATGAGTGAAGGCAGAAGCATAAACTATAACCTAGGGGCTTCTGTTTGATATTTAGCAACCAAGAATGGAAGAAGACCAGAAAAGACATTTTAATCATGTTTTCTTACTTATGTTGAAAGAACATGGAAAATATTCAAAAGTTTTTTTTTTCTAAATGAAAGAAGTGACAAAATGATCAAATCATATCATTGTTAAATACAAATTAGCTTACACATAAGCAACTTGCCAAACCAATGTTTTAGTTCAACTGTAATGTATGTTATAGCCAAATACTACATTGTTCAAAAGTAATAGTTTTGATATTCTTTGATATAGTTTAGGGACTGGAACCTTTATCAGGATGTAGAAAAAGCAGACTTCTGCATCATTCCCATTAAAATTAATGGACACACAAAGTAGTACTAGTAGATCTTGATGCAGGATGAGAAACTAAAACAAGACTTTGGCTGAATTTGGTCCTAACAGAAGTAAACACAACTCACAGTGAACTGTGCCTGTTAATATTAGGGTGGAATTTAGCCATCAATATTGATTATTAATATAGTTTACTAATAAAACTTGTATAACATCTCTTTTTGTAGTTAGCATTCTTATACTTTACTTATCTGAACTGAATATAATGTAGTATAGGTTGAGGGATTAATGAAAGAAAGAAAAAAGAATATTCAATACAAGTGAACTGCTCTGAGAGCACATACCATATTAATGACGGTTTAATAGGGAAATCATAACTCCTACAGAACCTGAATCCTTTTATGGCGAATGCTGATCAGCAAGAAAGTAGTATTGAATGTAAGCTGAATGTAAATGTATGGAAGATTTGAAAAGGGAGTTTTCAATAAAAAGTAGATGACATTCCAGTTGTGTCGTATATTCTGATTTTACTTTCTAAGTGCATGGCTCAAGATATTGCACTTATATTTTTCAGTTGCATTAAGTCAGGAAAGGATTTCTGCAATACATGTTCAAAGCTCTCAAAACCGGCTCCGTTTGAGGTGGAAATCCGGGCTTCTGCTGAGCCGTTGCTCCAAGTCTCGAATGGTGTTACGGAGAATTTCAATTTCCTTGTTTTTTTCTTCCTGGAGATGTTGTAGCTTCTACAAAAGTGCAAACAAATATTTCTTTGTTTCACACAAATTGGAACTGAAATACAGAATCAGCATATAACACAATATTCTGTTGGCATTGGGACATTTTTAACTGCAATATTAAGATTTTTTTACAATATCAGTTGTATTTTACAAGGATAATTTTACAAAATCCTTTTCAAAGCACAGCTGCACTTTGAAGCACTGTATATCATCCACAAATACCCACTAGATATTCTATACAAGTAGCAGTATTGCTTAAACACGTACCCTTCTGTAGATATTTTGAGGTAAGGCAGTTGTATCTGGAAACGATTTTGTTGCTTTATTCTGAACCCTTGCTAATTTGGCATTGAACTAAAATAAACAGGAAAAAAAAAGTTAAAAGCCCAACAGATGAAACTTAATGTCTTTACTTACATTGGTATAATTCTCACTGTTCTGCATGTATTTGTACCTTTAAATATAACTGGCAGCGTGACCCATGGGCATTGCTACTACTTAATCTGGAGGTAATGAAACAACTTCATTTTTAAATGTTAGCTTGAAAAATACTGCCCCACTTCCTGGGTCCTGATGGTTCAAAAGGACCATAATGCCAGCTTACCAGCTAGTGGAAGATTCCCTTGGTGTAGACATTGGGTGCTGTTATCTAGCTTAGGACTTGAGAGCTACATGAACCACATTTTCTACCTGTGCACTACTGCTGAGGAGAGGCCAGTCCTGAGAGTTGTGCTTTTTCTTTTTTTTAACACATGGAGGATTTGAACTCTGATTTGTTTATTTGGCAGCAATGGAGTGGCTTTGCAACCTCAACTGTGTAATACATCTCTGGCCCTGAGGCTTACAATATATGTGTAGACCTCCACTTAAGTGTTTGGTAGCACATTGTAAATTACAGCATAAGAGCACCAGGCTCTCGAGGTTTACATGAAGATCTCTTCTGAGCACTGTGTGAAACCCAAAAAGTAAAAAGAACAAAACCAAATTATTTATCCATCCTTCCAGTTACATGTGGCTATGTTTTCACAAGGATAACAGCTGTATTTAAACCAATTCTATCACAAAAATAAGAACAGACTATATTGTAATACTTTTTATTCTCCTT